AGTTTAGTAAATTTCTTAGCAAACTCAAATAACATTCTTCCAAATGGACAAACATTCAATTTGCATCTATATTCTCCTTTAAAAAACTTAGTTGCTGTTGGACATGAGTTCAAACCCCTTTCGATATTGTGTTTTTAAAATTAATTTTTCAGGTTTTGATAAATGACAAACTCAATGAAGAACGAAATTTTTTTTGGTTCAAGATTGCAAAAGAGGCACACGATATCCCTTCGCAAGTTTTGAAGTGAAGAAAGAGTTTTGAAGACTTTTATTTATTTGAGTCTAGGAAAATTTGTAAGGATGACAAAATCTTTTTCCTTAAACTTTTTATTTTCTTGAGGGACATACATTAAAATATTTATATTTATTTTTGGAGTCAATTAAAAAATCTTTTTAACGACTCAAAAATAAATTTATTGAGTGAGTTACAAAAATTTGTGTCAAACAATTTTTTAAAAAAATATTTTTGATACTAGAAAATATTTTGGAAAGCAAAAATATTTTTACCCCAAAATTTTCTTGACATCGTTTGACACATAAAATATTTTTTGGACTCAATTTCTACCCCAAATCACAAATCATCCCATTTATTCAAAAATTTATTTTGAATAATAATAGGATGTGATTGGGAGCCTTTGTCTTAAGAATCCTGTTGGAAACAACAAGATATGGATAATTGTCTTTCACTATCTCGCCACTGATTGATTGTTGCTGTCACTGCAGTATTCGTAGTAAAAATTGATTTTTATTGTTGTAAAAATCACATTTTTGTTCTTGCGCAGATAGCTTTTTTCCGTCCAGTTTTTTAATCAATTTCTTCACCTTCAGAAAAATCGATTTCTCAAAAAATCGATTAAGTAATCCTTTAATTAATCGATTAGATACTCGTTGCGCAGAAGGAATTTTACTCAGAAGCATCTAATCGATTTTTCCCTCTTTTTTAAAATCGATTTTTTGTCCGTTGCATCTCATAGTTAGCCAATTTCTTGCCCCAACAAACATATCCATTTTTCACCTATATAATCCCTCTTCCTCCTTCATTCTTCTTACAATACAAGCACTCCAATCCTCTCATTTATTGGTTTTGATTCTTGCTCCATCTCTTTATAATCAAATACTATTTTGAGAGCTATATATATATATAGTATTAATTATTTGATAATTAATGTGGACAAAATAAATTGGAAGCTACCAATACTTGTAGGGCTGAAAATATGCATTAAAGGTAGGAATGTGATTTGATTTTTTTCCTAAACTTTAAAAGGCATATTCCCATTTGGATTGGGATGGGGATTGTATTTCTTATAAATACGAGATCATTCTTCCTTATTTCATAAGTGAGATTTTCGGCCCTTCCTCCTCAAAACTAAGAGACCAAATTGTTTTATTCTTTTAATTCTTTACTCCAATTTTTTTTATTTTAAGATAAATTCTAGAGAAAATTACCAACATAATTTTTTATCTAGAACACCATTCAAAGTTTTTGTATACACACTAGAGGCCATAACTTTTGTGGCAAAAGGTATTGGACCAATCTCGTCAGCCACACGTTGTTGCTTGTTTTTCAAGAAAGGTATATTTCTAACAATAACTCATGTTTTCATAAGGGATCTTGGGTGGATCTATGTTTGAACATCAAAAATTTTATATTTTCGCTGCTCTATCCAAGTGTAGTTTCCAACATACTATACTCCAAGACTCCAATTGCTCGTAAATGTACCATCTACAATACTTTAACCACTAAGATTACGGGTTCTTAGCCAGCCCAATACTCAATGAGAAGAATTTTTCTTCTCAAACCTCTCTTTTGTACAAAGAAATCTCTAGAAAGAGTAGATAAAGAAATAAACTATAGAATGCTCAAAAACACTACAATTTCTTCACGAAATGGCTTTCAGTTAGCTATGAAAAATGAATATGATTAATTCAATGAAGGAGTAGAGATAATATGAAGAATTGTGTGTTAAAATAGACCCAAGAGACTCCTTTTTGTAAAAATAATAAATTACGCTTTATTGATTGAATAAATAAGAGAGGAATACAAAGTATGTGTTTATAGTTGGATGAATATATTCTAGAATCCTCTACATTAGTGGCTAATTATATAAGGTTATATTATATAATAATAACTCTAACTAAAAAAGACAACAACCATAATTATAATATTAAATATATTAAACAGTTTATATATTTAACATGCTCCCAACGTCCTGAACAATGAGTATTGAACGCTAACTTTAAATTGAATGATAACCAGAATCGTGATTAGAAACTCGAGATAAATCTTCGGCTAGAGCAGACTGAATGCATCCGGACCATAAGAGAAGAAGAATGATTGTTGGGAAAGAAATGTGTCTGCTTCGAGGAGGATGGGAGAAGGGCCGCTGCGGTCAGACTCATGCCACTGACATCGAAGAAGGGAGAATATTGAAGTGCGCTGGAGTCGTGCGCGACTCGGTTAGAGAAGAAACACAGGAATGAGGTATTGTCGAAAATGCATGTTAACCGAAGATCTACCAACTAAGCAGGTTGAGGTGATAATATGATCTAAAATCAGGAAGCAGTGGTGATGGATCCAGAGCCGGATAGAGGGTATGGCAGATCATTATTAGAGGAACAAGTGGGAGTGATGCCACCGTCGTAGGATAAATTACCAGCGACGGCAGCGGTGGAAGCGGAATATATTAGGTCATCAAGAACGAAGACTCTCATACTATGTAAAAATAGTAAATTGCGCTTTATTGATTGAATGAATAAGAGAGGAATATGAAGTATGTATTTATAGGTGGAAGAATATATTCTAGAATCTTCCACATTAATGGCTAATTATATAAGGTGATATTATATAATAGTAACTCTAACTATAATAGGTAACAACCATAATGATAATATTAAACATATTAAATAATTGATATATTTAGCACTTTTATACCAAAAAATGAGCCACAACGGTTGGAAGAAGATTAGGGTTGATTGACATGATTTGTGGAAATTAAATCAAAATTGGATATACTGAAACTGTGCCTAACATCGATGCTCAAGTATTGAACATCACTATTTTGGCTTTGACTTTCCTTTTGAATTGTCAAATGGTAATCCCAACATCGATGTTATAAACCCAACATCGATGTTGGAAGTGTTGACTTTCAAAGAATGAAAGATTTTGCCTTAAATATCTTCCAACAGTCATGAGCCAACATCGATGTTCAATATTTATTGAACATCGTTGTTCTGAACTCTACTGCCAAAGGAAGGTCTTCAAGCTTTGACTCTAACATAGATGTAGCATAGCGAACATCGCCTAAGGATATCAATTGCCAAAATCAAGATTTCTTCCGGCATGGCCAAACATCAATGTTTGCACTCAAGCATCGTTGTTTTGAATCATACTGCCAAAGTTAGGATTTCCCAGACTTGGCCAACACAGTGCTATTGAGGTTCCGACATAGCTGTTGGGTCTGGTTGCTAGAATGCCAAAAGCCGATGCCAAAAATAAAAGTTTTCCAAATTTAAAAGCAAGTGTTGGAGATACTTATTTGATTCATTTTATGTAGAAACCAAGTATTAAATCTTAAAACCACATTGTTTAGGTGAAAACCAAAAATCACCAAGTTATAGACGGTTTTCATGGTTTTTAACCAAAAACCAAAAACTAAGGGTGGTTTTTAGAAAGTTTTCATTGGGAAACCATTAAAAAATGCCCAAAAATAAAAACAAATCATAAAAAGTCAAAAACTACTTGGTCGATTCAAATGCCAAAAACCAATGCCAAAAACTAAATACCGAACGCCAAACATCAAATGCCGAATACTGAACGTTGTGGTTTTGGTTTGGGCAAAACCCAACTGTTTTTGGAAACTTAAAAAATTTGAGAAAAGTGTTTGGGTGATGCATAAAAATGATTTTTGTAAAATGTGTTTTAGTTTTTAAGAACCATGACTTGAAGACCAAAGCCAATCTTGATCAAAATTAGACCAACTCAATCCTAAGTCTAAGTTTTCATCTTGGTCTTTGTTCATAATGCTTTTGAGTCTTGTTCCAAGCTTGGTTTCTCGCCTTGAGATGTTCAATGAATCTTCACATCCACAACGGTTTGTCATTTATTAAAACATGTCAAAAATCGAACATCACTTTAGTACAAACGTTATTTTAAAGTGTGTTCCAACAATCTAGTCTAGCATTCTTAAACTAAAAAGATGCATAAAAAATAAGAGAGTAAAAAATAAAATAAATGCATAACAAGATAAAGAAATAAGATCTAACACAAAGGACAACTAAATAAACATAAAAGAGTCTATGGAGGGGTTCTCATGACATTGAAACCCAATGTCATGTGATGACTCAGGGCCGCTAGGTGCTCCGTTCATAAAATTGACGGTTCCTACCCCTCTAACCACCCGGTAAATCCCCCCGCCCGCCCGGCCTGAACATCCCCTTTAATTACACCTCCCAAGTTAATTTTGACTTGGAGTCAAAATAGACTCCAAAGTCAAAGTTAATTTTGGAGGTGCAATTGAAGAGAGTGGGGGAGGGGTGTGTTCGGGTCGGGGCGGATGGTTTACCGGTGGTAGAAATCGTTAATTTTACGAACGGAACATCATAGGGGTCCCGGGTCATCCCATGAATGGGGTTCCAATGTCATGAGAACCGCTTTGAAGAGTTTAAATGTAAAGATTGGAGTTCCCCCATTTCTTCTTTACATATTCCCTCCGTCTAACAATAATGTTTCCATTTTGCGTTATGATGTTTGACTGACGTTATATTCAAATCATTTTAAATAAAAATGATATGGAACTAAAAAATAAAAATTACATATTTACAAACTGTGTGAAAAGATATACAAAACTAGAGATGACATGATTATATTATTTTATTAAAAAGATAATAAACATAGACAAACAAACTAAATAAAATTTGAAAAACTAAACAATAACATTTTGTTGGAAGGATTTCGAGATTTGAGTCCATTGTAAGATTATAAATCTGGGTGTGTGTATACACCGCGAGCCCATCATCGCATACTCCAGTTTCCTCGTCCGCATTGAAACGCACACAGGAAGGAAGGGAAAAAGAATCACTATCGCTCTCCCCAGCAGGGAGACGTCTCGTGTTCTTATTATTATCTTCATATCCACGCATCCCAAACCCATTTCCTCTCTCAATAGAACACCATACGTCCATACCTCTCCTCTTCCTCTATAGAATCTCATAGTCTTATCTAAACACCGTCCCTGGTGGTCCGTATTTCCACCGGCAGTTGAATCGCTTGTTTTACTGGTTCGTAGCATCCTGGTTTATGCATACAAGCTGAAATCTAATCTTCTGCCGTTAACATCGCGCTGATTTTGTCGGGTTTGTAGGTAAGTTTGTGGAATTTCAAAAGCTGATGATATTTGTGTGTTATTTGGCTGATTCATGATGCGGGCTGTTAATACTGTTTTGATTTCTTGAATTTGGAGTGAAAAAATGTTTGACAATTGAAGGTTTTCGTAGTAGAAATGATGTCAGTGGAGAGATCGTTTGAAGCTTGGGGAGAGGTGCAGAGGCAAGGGCAAGATTTTGCTGATAGGCTAGCGCAGGGGTTTACTGGGTTGATTCACTCGCATATTACCCCTCCCTCTTTTTCGTGGCCAACCCCAAAAGGACCAAAGCTATTTGATGTTGAATTTCCAGCTCAACATTTTGTTCCTAAAGAATTTGGGCTTGCAGTAGATAAAGCGGGTATACAAGGGGTTTCTGCTATTCTGGACATCGGGAATAAGATTGGACAGGCTGGAGCTGACTTTGGGGCTTGTTTGGATGGTATGGTTCAGCAGTTCATCAGATGGTTCCCAGTGCCCTTTAAGCATGAAGATATTGCCAGGGTGGCCCTGCCTACAGAGGCAAATAGCCAAAAAATTGATTTGTGTATTACACCCCAGGAGGATTCGCGTTCACTGGTAGAATGGCTTAGAGATTTTGCGCATCCAGAGAATAGTTATGCTCAAGATGGATCCATCGAAGAAGAAAATTTTGATACTAATCTGAAGAAATTGAAACACTCTGGTAGATCTCAGGTATTCATGTGCCATAGACTCATGTGCGTAATGTGTGTCTTCATGTCATACCTCATATTTATGATTCTCCCTCAAATGCCTTAAAATGTTCAAAGGGTATGTCAAAGAGTAAAAGTAGCATACCTGAAAATTTCTGAATCAGCAATATTCTGGACGAGGATAAAAGGGTATACATGAAAGTGAATGCTTGTTTTGTTTGAATTTCAGAATATGTGTGGATTCCACATTTCTTTATAAAATAAGCGGTTATGCCGTTTTGTTGTGTTGAATTGGTGTGTACTAGACTACTAGTTCCAATCTGGCAATCTCTAAGATCTACATCACTCAAGATAAATGTGTTGTTCAAATGGGATTACATTCATGCCAGACGAAACCTCTTAAACTAGTGACATCTTATATTTTTTCTAAATTATATTTGGAAATAGTCATAGAATAGGCATAGCACACACTTTTATGGTTCACTGGTTGTGTAGATCACAGTTTTGTAGCATGAGGTATCTCGACACTATTTTTTTCTGCCTAAATAATGAGGCATTATATCTCCATCTCACAAGCATTGCAGTATACTATTTTCTCTTCTTCCTCTCTCAAGTCTCCAAATGGTATCAAGAGACATAATCTAATTGCCTAAATCCTTCCCCCGTTTTTCAAACCTATGGTTTTAGACCAATTATTCTCTATCCTATCTGAACCCACTCATCTTACCTCTCTCTGTCACAACTCTGAGACTCTATTAATCTCTCCTGAAACATGGCTGTTTTCCATTTTTGATAGTGAATTTACTTACTCACTAGTCAATACAAACTCGTATATGTTTTTTACACTGGTCCTGATGGTGTGGTGGTATTTCCTCCAAGCATGGTTCTTTTGCCACAACCATGGCGTATACATGATGTCGTAAAAAGCACACAGAAGTATGAGCTAGAGAGTGAAGTTCTAGGATTCAACCTACTGTCCAGCATGGCCATCTACAGTAGAAACTTGGTCCACAATTTTCATGCATGCTTCTCTGTAGTAGAAATTTGGTGTAGAACTTCCAAGCATAGTTGGGTCTAGCAGTAAAAAATTGGTTCCTGAATCTAGGTGTATGGTAGCTCGCAAGTATGGTAATTTAAGAAAACAATACTCCGTCCTCGAGTGTTTGTCCACCTTTCCTCCTTGGGCTGTGCGGCAGTGTTTGTCCACTTTTCTTTTAAGGATACATTAATGAAATGTCTATTAAACCCTTCTCCATTACCTCTCACCTTCTTCGCCCCATTACACTCACTCACACACACACAACACACACACACACACACTCTCTCTCTCTCACACACAATTTTGTTATCTTTTTCAATTTAAAGATAGCAGAAGCAGTTAGAGATTGAATTTCTTCCTCCCTTGAAGATCAAATTAAAAGAATTCAAGGTTATCAGGTTCTTGTTGGCAAGTAGATTCTTCTTTAACCATCTCTCAGAATCTAGATCTAAAATAGATTGGAGTTTTGATTTCATCTATTGTTCTCATCTCTTTCTTCTTTACTTTCTTTTTCCAATTTTGAAACTGAAGAACGATGGTGGATGTTAGATCTAAGATAGATTGGACTTTGCTTTTTTTATTTTTGTTCTCATTTATTGCATTTTTTAAGAGACATCGGTGGAGGACGTTATTGGGTTAGTTAGTTGCAGGTTGGGCGGTAAATCGATGGTGGAGGGTGTTGGGATGGGTTGTGCAACAGTGACGGGTGATGCGATTACTATGTTTGTTGGGTCATATAACCAGCATCTCATCGCAAAGCCCCTCGGAATACCCAGATGCATGAAGCTTGCATCATTTGATATGCATGCTTCAACAGTTCAACTTTGCGAAGTATCGTTTCCATTAAATTATGTTTAGAGATACTCATAGCACACAACTTTGTTTTACACAGTTTCCTAGTGGATGGTGTTGGGGCACACCATTTTAGGCCACTTTTTTGTTCTATTTTTAGCATATATAACCAGTCTTTAAGGCTGCTCTCAACAATTTCTGATGCAAGTTTTGCTTCTCTTATATGATTATCTTTCTTGAAAAAAATATCTGTTCCAAAGCTTTCAAAAATGTGAAAGAACACATGATATACAAAGTTCGTTAGTTTGGACTTTATTAAGTTATGAACTGATGCATTGGGCAACAATTGACCTTTTGGAGATACAGTTTGATTCTGTGATTGTTTATTAGAAAGAAAGAAATTAGGTTGAAGAAAACCGATATATATTGGAAGAAGAAGCATATTTCATATTGTTCAATTATGGAGGATACACGGTGCCATGGTGGATAGTTATACAAACAGGACCCATCACTTTGTATACCCAAATAAACTGTCCCCTTTGAAACTGGATAACTAACCTTTCTACCATGGTTTAATTGGTTAATCCAATATATAATTTTCCTTCCTGAATGTAGGGTACATTCAACTTTACATCAACATACAACTTCAGCACACAAAAAAGTGAGAGTTCTCTAATTGCCAAGGGAGATTTATGGAGAGTTGAAGCATCGCAAGGACGATCGACATCTGGAAATGAGAGCTCTTCTTTATTCCTACTCCAGCTTGGACCAGTTCTATTTGTTCGTGATTCAACACTTCTTTTACCTATCCACTTGTCAAAACAACATTTGCTTTGGTATGGCTATGACAGAAAGGTATGCCTATGTTGATTTCTAGCAATTCACATGATGCTTCTGCATTAGACTATATGATTGCAATTTTTCTCTCAATCTTAGTTTTTTTTTTATGTTTTCCCAACAAATTGTTTGTTGTGGTAAGCTTGTTTATTGAGCTTTCCAACATAAGCATAAGAGTTTTCATTAATGGACAGCATGGAACGCATTCTCTTTGTCCAGCTGTGTGGTCAAAACAGCGAAAGTGGCTCTGTATGTCGATGATCTGTTTGAATCCTTTGTCCTGTGTAAGTGTGAGCTTTAAATTCTATAATTGTCGTTTCTCCCTTATGAAGAAAAACAAGATCTATATTGGTGGTATTTTGAATTCTGTGTAAAAAGTAATGCATTTGTGCACATCTCTGCAGTCATTTATGGACTTGCAGTTTCCTAATGGCCAATTCACCTATATATCTGGAGAAGGCATGTCCACCAGTGCTTTTGTACCTCTCTGTGGAGGTTTACTTCAAGTTCAGGGTCAATATCCAGGAGACATCAAGCTCAGTTTCTCTTGCAAGGTAAGTTTCTGATATTTCAAGCTGTAAGGGGAAAGACTGCAACATGTGCTCCTTGATATCCTGCAATATAAAGTAAGTCTCATATCTAGTAACTGTATTTTACATTTTGCAGAATAAATGGGGGACCCGCATCACACCCACACTTCTGTGGCCTGACAAATCATTGACCCTGAACTTGGCCCAGCCATTGGCTTGGAAGAGATCTGGTCTCATTTATAGGCCAACTGTTCAGTTCAGGTTTATTGATAGTCCAATCTAAATTTATACTATCCTATGCATTTTGCTACACCTGGTTCTATTTATCTGCTCACCTATCAAAGTTTTTTGTGGTCCTTGTTCTTTCTCCATGTAGTAAATGCGTAGACCATTAATTACTCATTTCCAGCGTTACCCTTTAAGTAGAAGTACGTTGGGGAAAAATGAAAGAATTTACAACAAATTTTAGTGTTGTAATACATGTGTAGACAATGGAATTTGTTTGGATGTGCTTATAAATATGTTAACATGATAAATATGACCAGATGATGAAATAAAATGTGGCATTAACATATACTCTATAATAACGGATTACAAATGTACAATGCTTAAAGCTAATGACATTTTAGCCATAGGAGATGGGATTGAAGTTACTGCTTTCGGGGGCTTGGTATTAGTTTCGTTTTGGCTTACGTAGGATAGGAATGGATAAAATGTACTCCATCTGTCAAAAAGGGGTTCTGTGTAAAAAGCTTTTTTGTTGCAATGTTAGAAGTTGCAAACAAGTACATACGATAAATTGGTTTCATGTAATTTTTTTGTAGCTAATCGTTTCATGTAATTTCCCAAAAAGAACATACTGACAAGTTCAATATGATAAATTTTAGTTGCAAAAAATTTTTTTCTATCCATCCTGAAAAGAAAGTTATACTTTTCTTTTTGGTTGTCTCGAATTAAACTTCACACTTATATTTTCTTATTAAAGTAAAGCATTTGTGGTGTGAACTGTGAAAGTATTACTTTCTTTTTGGGATGGAGGGTGTAAGCACGATTCCATGAATTCTTTAAGTTGTACTGCGCCAACATTCCGAGATTGTACCTTGATCGGGGCTGTTTTTTTTAACATGGAGGGGGTGAGAAGTAATGTGTAATTTTAAGTGTACTTAACATTTCCCCCCTAAATTTCTCGTTACGTGGATAACCCTTTTTCGATGTTAAACAGTTTATGTCCTACATATGGTGGAGGCAACCCTGGGGTTCAAGCAGAACTTACACATTCCTTCAAGAATGAACTGAATATTACCTGTGGATGTGCGCTTGCAAGACATTCTTCTGCTTTTGTGTTGTTATCTGTAAGTCAGTTTAAATATCAATTCTGCTGCATTTACTCAAACTTTTGGAGCATTCTGTTTGAAATTTTCTCCTAGTTGGTAATGATCTATATACAACTGCAAAATATTTCCTTGTTGATATGTAGGCCATTGCCTCCAAAGAGCTGGCAGTTAATTTCCATTTTGTACTTTTTTTAAAACACAAAATCCCTGATATAAACATAATAAGTGTCTTGTGCACAGGACTACACTGTTAATGCAGGCAGCCATGTTTTTTGAAACAATTTCTTCAATGGGTTCAAGTTACCTATTGAAAATTTTAGATTGGACATATCTTCATATTTCTTTCTTGCTGCAGCTTGGCAGATCCAAGTGGAATGGAAATGTTGGGAGCATAGGTGCCATTTTTAAGGTTGAAATTCCTATTGGCCGTGCTGGCAACCCTTCCATATCAGTACAGTTCAACAGCGGTGTTGAGCTTTGACGTTTTTTTTACTTCTACTGGGGGCTTTGGTGATTCTCATTTGTGTATATCCAACTCTTTTAGCTGCTGCCATCATCTGCATGCCTCCCTCCTCTCCCCATTTTTTTGTTATACTTGTGGCAGTGAAGTGTCAATAACTAATAGCTTCATGCCATAACACGAGAAGTGCATTGTGAATAACAAAAAGAGTATTATTAACCACTTTCGCGACACGTAGTCTCTCTTTATGAGATTGGGAATGCCTTGGATTTTTGTGTGCTCATCAGAGCTAGGCTGTGTTTAGGGGTAGCACTTTCGTTAGCATTATGCTATTTTAACGTATTTTGACCCAAAACATGGTCTCACATGTTATTTGAGGTGTGATAAATTAGCATTGTTGAAGCATCAGTTTGCTAAGCAAAATAAATGTTGATTAAAATATACTGATCAGACATTTTAAAAATCATGATTCTATCATACAATCGTATATATGAATGTGTTTTATATCTACTTTAGATCAGTTAGTAATTAGTTGATGGTTAATAGAATTTAATTTTTTAGTCTGTAATGATTGTGTACAAAATGAGTATTAGTTTGTGTTTGGTAGTGTGCACACAATTCTCATTCAGTGTTCAGTAGTGAGCATATAAGCTTTTGTTGAAGATTGGTGGTATGATACTCATGTAGTAATATTATACGGAAGTGTGACTTAAAAAAAGTACCATGTCCAAGAACTCTCTTCTTACTTTGTTATTGGTCCGTCAATTATTATTATTTTTCATATCATTTTATTGCAAAAAGCTTATAACCCTAGATTGTCAAATTTACACTTCCACTTTATTTAGCTGATGGGATCTGGCCAATCAAGATAGCTAGCGGGTAGGGCCTGAGATGTGCTCGAAGATCCGAGTGGAGGTCTGTAAAATTTGGAAGACCCGCCCCCCGCAAAGAAAGAAAGGTTGGGCCGAGCCCATGTAGAAAGTCGGGCGTCTAGTGTTATAAAGGAAAGAATAAGCTGGGCTGGAGCCCATACCTTTGGGAATTAGGGCAGCGCCTCTAGGACTGGAACAAAGGCTCCAGGACAAAGTAAGGATGGAGAGAATATCAGTCCATCAAGTTCTTTGTCCGAAGGCAATTAACGTGGGGTGCAAGGAACTGGGGAGATCCTACGACCCATCTCCAACCATCGAAGGATACCATGATAGGATGGTGGTTGGAGGAAGAACTATAAAAGAGAAAAGAGTTTAGCTGTGGGAGACATCTCGTAATTGAGGTAGACAATACAATATATTGAGTAATAAAAGAATATTCTTACGTCTTTTAGAATATTCTGATCTTAAGATGGATGGTCTATAGAAGGAGACGTCGGTTTGAGTCCATTTCTTGTGCGCGATCCATATTAATTACCTATTTTACTCTTATATTCTTACTCTTTTACTGTTGCAAAGTCCGGACTATTGATGTTTGGATCTTGGACTGCCCGACAGTCTAAGGCAAAAATATCAACGATCCATCAATATTATACGGAGTGTGACTTAAAAAAATTACTTTGTCCAAGAACACACTTTGTTTTTGGTCCGGCATTTATTAAGTTTTTTTTTCATATCCTTTTATTGCAAAAAAAGTTGGCCCTAGATTGTCAAATTTACACTTCCACTTTATTTAGCATTATTCATTTTAGGGTACTTTAGAAATGAAATGGTTTTTTCATCTCGAATAATAAGTTTCGGGTGAAATCAAGAAGAAAAATCTTGTACGGGGAAGTAATCTATTTGCATTTGCACTTTAGTTATGTTTTTATATTCTGTTAAGCTTTTAAGGTAAATTCTTTGGTGTATCTAAGTTCCACTTTGGACCCACCTATAAGTAAAATAAGTATTTTCTTAATACTTAAATAAACATCCGTTTGTTTTAATAAAAAATAAAAAAATAAATTTTGTATGTGAGAAAGTTTACAAAATGGTATGCACACAAGGTGCACCAAAGAAGCACTTAGCTATTAAACATCTTTTTTACAAACTACTAATTGTTCGTCAATCATCATGCAGTATTAATACGGTTAAACTATATAAATGGTTATTTATAATAGATGTTTTTTCATAATTAGTCATAAATTCTAAAATATTTTATTCATACTTAACTAATCCTTTGTGGACTATGAGCTTGTTCACTTCAATTTATTGTTATTACTTAGGAAAAATTATCTTAAATAATCCCACTTTTTCACATTTTTTTTATTAAAAATATAATGATTTACAAATTTTGTTTTACGTTTTTAGGGAAATATATAATATTCGATTATCGTAAAATAGATTAGAGTATTGCTAGAAAAAGAACTTGCAATACAAAAAAATTGTAGTGAGTTATAAAATTAATTAATACCATTTTGGAGAAAAAAGTATTTTGCCATTTTCATAACTTTTGAATTATTATTTTAGGGGAAAAATTGTATTGAATTATCAAAAAAATTACAAGTTGGGTAGTTCCATTTTAGAAAAATAAAACGGGTGATAGAAGACTATCAATAAACTTTTCGAAGTGTCACTCAAGAAGAATAATTGCAAGTTACAAAAACATGTAGTGAGCTATGAAGTAAATAAACTAGCTCCATTGTGTAAAACAATTTATTGTTCAATTATTACCAGATTATCAATTATTGAAAAAATAATTACTTTCACCCTAAAAAACTCTTAAATTTGGTGGAGTATTATTCATAAAAACATTTAAAAAAAATACATTTAAGTTTAATGTTGGAAATTAAAAAATGAAAAAAAGAATTTACCTAAAATAATCTCATTTTTCATTTATTTGCAAAAAATAAGCATTTCCCAAAAATTCAGTTAAGTGATTGTTAGCTTTATAACAACGACACAAACTCGCAAACATGCAGAAATATGGAATGACTTCTGCTGTTTGTGAAAAGTGGGATTATTTTTGAAAGAGCACGGAATTATGAGATTATTTTCCATATTTCTTATTCCTTATTCTTATTGCAATAGGAACAGAAATAGTTTTAAATATAACTACAATCAGGTCGGATCAGATCAACATTTTGCAATATTTGACTGAAGGAATAAATTTTTAAAATTGAGGATTACATAATGATGGGCCACTACTTGTCGGGAAGCCCAATCCGCAGGCCTAGGAGTATTTTGAGACCTGGGGATATTCCAATTTTAGCATTGGGCCGGCCCAAGACGCTGGGCTCGAGCTGACCCGAGTGGAAGAGCTATTGGTAGCACATTTGCGAGAAAGAGCATTGCGGCTAGGTTACTGAATAGGAGTCGCGATATTTGGATTGCACAATTCGCGAGAATCAGTTTCCATATATAATAATTACCTTAATTATGTACATCAATATGTATAAATAAGGGGAATCCTCACGGTGATCCTCAAGCTAAACCTAGCGCAATACTTTGTAATTCTCAAGTTCTCTTATCAATACTATTGTGTTTACGGTCTATTGCAGAGTCAGATCATTTGGTGGAATTCTTGCCCATCAAATTCGTGCTCTTGTTGAGAGCTCGAGAGATTTGCTCAAGAAGAAACCTTCCACATAACTATGGTGCAGGCACTCAGCAACGCCAATCAACCCACCGACAATCGTCACCAAGGGGAGAATAGCAGCACCAGAGGCCGTAACCTCCTTATCAGCGTGACAGAACCTGAACTCCTTATCCAATGGATCGGGATCACGTCTGATCAATTCAAGGAGGCGGTGGCGGCCTTGACCCCGAATCAGGAGATTGTGATCAATGACATAAAAGGGGGGCAGGTCGGGGGGGGGGGGGGNAGGCCGAACGTGTAGGGTCAAAAGGTAAGAAGAAGAAGAAGAAGACCCGACGCTCCCAGAAGAAGATGGCGACCAAGCCCCATGGGAAGGCTATGGTTGAGGACGATCTGTCGAGATTGGACAAGGAAGGCGATTTATCCTCGTTTGAGCGGGCCTCTACTTTCGAAAGATTGGGGGGATCCGAAGGAGAAGAGATCACGGACCTCGCATTCGACCAACTACAAGATAACCGATCAGCCTAGAAGGGGGATCTAAAGGAGAAGCTCAAGGAACGAATGGAGGAATCCTCGAAATCCCTTAACAGTTTTGGATGAGGTGACCCCTTCCGCAAAAAGGGTAATGTCGTGCCCTCTTTCTAAGAACTTCAAGCCTCCTTAGATTATGGCCTATAACTGGACGACTGATCCCTAGGACCATTTGTCGCATTTCCTGGCAAACGTGGTCCGGTATGCGTACCCAGGGGAGATCGAGTGCCGCTGTTTCCTGGCGACTCTAAAAGGACAAGCTTGTGAGTGGCTTTACAAACTGTCCAGGGGCTCGATCGATCAATGGAAGGATTTAGCCCATAAGTTTCTAGAACAGTTTTGAATCAAGCCGAAGACAAAAGCTCCCCTATTCGCACTTGCTCAACGTCAAGATTCGAAAAGGGGAGCAACTCCGGGATTTTATAACACGATGAGAGAAGGAAGCAACAGACGTCCAAGGGGCGGATGACCAAGCCTTGGTCGTTATGCTCCAAGCAGCACCCCCTAGGGGATGTGTGCAAGGAGCTGTGACAGAACCCACTTTCTACCTACCAGTAGATGTTGGCTAGGGCAAAGTACCTAGCGTTAGAAGAAGAAGATGATGAAGCGTCTGGGCAGGCCCTGAAGGAAAAGAAGAACATCCAGCCATCGGGCGAGAGCAGGGATAGGAAGAGGGAGGATTTTGGGAGGGGTCCGAACCCCACAAGTTATTAGACTGATAGGCCGCTGCGGTCGAGACTTTGCCAGACCCTTCCCAATATTGGGAAAGCTAAGATACTGCAAGTACCACTATAACAACACCTACAACATGTTGGAGTGCGTTACATTGAAAAAAGAGATGGACCAACTATTAGCCAGGGGACCAACACCCCAAGTGGAGCGGCTGGCACCCAGAAGCAGGACATGGAGGAGACCGACTGCTGCCGCTGCTGCGATCATGAATGGCGAAGAGCACGCTGACGGAAGAAGGAATTTAGGAAGAGAATGTGATGATCTTGACCAAGATGAAAGGCATAATCGACGATATTTGGGGTGTCGGTTTATCATGGGAGGAAATTCTAGATGGAATTCAGTGTCCTCTTGAAAGAAATGGAAGAATTCTTACTGCCCAAGAAGAAGAGAAGTGAACAATCATGTTCACCAATGAAGACTATCCGCCGGTGGCCAGTCCACATCAGGATGCGCTGGTGGTAAAAGTGGACATTAATAACGTGGTGGTTCACCGTACTTTGGCTGACACTGGTAGCTCGATGAACATCATGTATAGAAATACCTTTAAGGAGCTGGGGCTATCTCAAGTGGATCTTAAACCGATTCATACCCCACTGTCCGATTTCACAGGGGACACAATCAAAGCGGAGGGG